AAAATTAAAACTTGTTTCTTTTACTGTATTTTCATTTTAAAATTAGCTTTTTCATTTGAATTATGATACAAATTTAGCAGGGCATTTTTTTTAAATGATAAAGCAAATGTAATTTTCTTCTTCATTTTAATTTAGTCAAAGAATGTGCATTTTTGAAGTTGAAAACTAAAGTTCAAATTAGATAAATTAATAATCATTTTTTTTTGAGTCAAATATACACTCATATTCTGAAAATTAAAAAGCATTTCTGTTAATGCATTTGAATTTTTAAATTAGCTTTATCATTTTGATCACTAATGGCTTCCATAGTAGGATTGCCTTCAAAGATCAAAACAGTAACTAAAACAGTAGACCTGTACCCCTGCAGGCATACAAATAAATACAAGTTGTGATCTTACCTTGAAGGAGGATTATCAGAAGGAAACCTGCGAGCATCATGACTGCAAAAGTTCTGTCCGGTCAAAAAGCATGTTCCTGTCCTCTGTGGTGTCCGTACTTTTATCACTGTCTTCTACTGGAAGAAATCTCATTAGTCTAATGATAAAAACACAAGAGGTAGATTCCAGGAACTTCCATCCCCCTTAACAATTAGTGGCTTGTGGGTAAATCCATTTTTCTATCGAGAAAAACAACTTTACATCTCACTTCCTCTATTGCAGCTGTTTAATTGTCAAAGTACTTCATGTAAGGGCCTTAACCATGCCCTCATTTATTTCCCCTTTTAGTTCCCTTCACACCCTGGGATATGGTTTTGAAGTGAAAGGCGCCGCTGATTCTGGAAGCTTTTATTGCAAATGCATCAAACTATCTTCTGAACCATTAAGCAAATTGGTTAATTTTTTTGACAGCCAGTTTTTACTATTTCATTAAAGGCTGAAATCAGAGGACAACAGTCCAATACAGGTTTAGAAATTCAATCATACAGGCAAAATAAAATGTTCAAAACCTAGACAAGGTTCAAGTAAGAAAGGTAGAGATATAAACACATACAGTAAGGACCAACACTAAATGATTGGAACCCCTTTACACATGACAAAGATGAATTTGCACAGGAAGAAAAGACACGCCGACCAAATTCAGTGTTGATTTCTTAAAGTCATTTTCCTTCAGAGTCAGACAAGGATGTTAATATTGATCAATTAAATCTGTGTGTCCTATAGTGTAACACATAAAAGGTATCTGAAAGTTATGAAAAGTAAACTTTAACTGCCTCTTTGTCAAGAACTGACACAGCAACTGGAACCAGAGATACATTTCAGTCCCTCCAGAAAGTTCAGATTTTATGATCATCAATTCACCAATCTCTTTTCATGCAACTTTTCTGCTAATTTAACCAATAACCCTCTTTCTTTATGGGCATCAACATGTATGTTTCTTGGGATTTATCAATTTGGATCTGTAATATTTAAAATACCGATCACCTTAGCTTCTGAAGTTTGAACATCGGAGGATATGCTTTACAGCACAGGTGTCACAAACTGAAGGCCATGTCTGACCGACTAGATATCATATCTCATTCATAATTCGTATTGTTCATAAAATCAGAACAGATGCGTTATAAGTAGTACAGTGTGTGCTCGTGAGGACATTAACTTATCCGATCAATATGATTTTTTTGTACCAGGCTGTAAGCATGTGAATTTCTGCTGTATAAACCTGCATATTTGAATCGGCTGTGTATGTGACTTTTGGGGCTCTTGGAGCCAGCCTCATGCTGACACTCGAAGAACTGCAGGATTTTGCAATTCCCCATGGACTTCATTTTTAAACACCTGAGGTTGCCGCTTGATCATAACTGACCCTCTGGTATATAGCACACACACCACTTAGAATACAAATCCCAGAATTCACAGCAACTGCCGCCAATCAAGACCATCAAGACTTGTAAGCTTCAGCTGCCCCTCCTCTCTGCTGTTTTTGTGCAACACGTCGGACTGTCTCATTGAAAGAAACCTGCAGCTTCAGAGACAGACTGTTAGACCACCAGGTCTTGCAGCCAAGAAAAGATGGAAAACAACTGTCTTCATTAAAATATACATTTTCTTTTTTCACTTTTACCTGTAATCACAAAGTAGACTGTTTTTTGGTTGTTGTTTTTTTGCAAAAATATTTGCACATTTAAATAATCTACTAGTGATTGATTGAGTAATTGAGTAATTAGCGACAAATTATCTGTACTCCATAAATCATTTCTTGAATCAGATTTCTGTCACGTTTGGATTGCCTTTAAAAAAAAAAAAAAACTGGACTCAGGGAAAAACTGCTGATAGAGAGACAAAAAAATAACCGATGTCTTTTTTTCAAAATCTATGTCGTTTGTTTTATTTATTTGTAATATCTCCTGTTTGTTCTGAACTCTATAAGATGTCTAAGGAGCGGTTAAGTTCATATTAATGTAAGAACTGTTTGTAATATTACCTCAGATGAAAGAAAATGGTCAATTTGACAATTTGACTTCATGTTTTTCAGTAAATGTTGACCCTGTTTTAGCCCTGAGTAAAACACTGATTTACATTTTTTAATTATTCAACATCACCTGATTTAGAATCGTCATCCCAATATAATTGAAAAATAATCAAATCACTCCCTGATGATTGTGCGGTCCTAGCTAGTGAAGTTTTAGTAAAAATTGACCTTGGATGATACATGACCAGGGACTGCTTGATGTAGTCAGTACTGACCAGGGACATGTAGTATTTACAAGAGCCACAATACACTGTAACATTTAAATCAGGAGAGACTTCATTAAGAATGAACAATTATTTATTTAACAATTTAGGAAATTAATGTGCAAAGACTTTGAGGATTAGACTCCATCATGACGACTTCATGTACTCGGAGGGGTAGTTAGGCTGACAGCAGGATAGGATACCCCCCATGGAGTCTAGACCCTGGTGGTGGTGGTGGTGGTGGTGATAGAAGAATGCAGGATGTGATGAGGAGTGGGTTTCTGAGGCTGTATCTGAACTCTGCTGAGCTGGAATGGAGGTGACTGGGGCAGAGGAGGGTCACAGCGATCACACTGAAATGACAAAGTGACTGTGGAAGAGAGAGAACAGGTTTTAAAATTTGACAGCAGCAGGATGATTGGTTGAGAGAGGTTGTGGAAGAATCTGGTTGGATTATTACTTAAAGTAAATGCCCCAAATCAGATGATCACCAGAGCAGGGAGATGGAAGATGGTAGAGAGGGAGTGGCTAAGTTGAATGAAGAAATTGAATAAATGTGTAAGAGAATATAACCAGTCTTCCTGCTTGAACTTACGCTGAGCTCCATTACTTTACCTAGAAGCCAAAAAATACAACAGAACTTCAAAATGTCACAATTGTCAGAAGGCCAACTGCTTGATTAACCTATCCTTTCACTTTCCAGGCCAACAGAGAAAATAATAGCAATACTGTTCCCTTTTTTAAGGTCCTAAATATAAACTCAGAAAATATTTCCCTCAATTCCAGGTCAGCTCTCATCATTCACAGAAACGCATATGAAAAAAAGAGATTTTTTAATTGGTTATTTTTTTTAATTGCAAGACCTATACATCTCCACAGAACAAATACAGATTACATATCAGACATAAATTATGATGTGTACACTTGAAACTTGTTAAGCTTTTATGCATTTATGGCACTGTGAATTTGGATAACATACATTTTACATTTTGTCTTGTTGTTTACATTGGTCAACTCAATGTACAATAGCACTTGAGCTCAGTATTTTTTTTATGCTATTGTATTGCAGCATGGATGACACGACACATCTATTATCTTTAACTACTACCATACTACACTTATCAGTACTGTATGAAAGCTATACATTTAGCAGGCAGCTTTGACCTTGTGGTAGAGTTTGTCATTTCACAATCTTGGAGCAGACAGGTTGATCCTAGGTCCTTTAGTTCACATGACAGAGTGTACTTTGCACGAAGCCGGACGACAAATTACTCTTAGTGGCGTAACCAGTAGCATGTGAATATGTATAAATGGAGTTAGATAACTGAGAAGCACTTTAAGTATAGCAGTTTCTGTCATCAGTGTGTGAATTGGACATGCAGTGCAGAAAGCGCTTTGAGCAATCGGAATGCTAGACTGTTGATATTGTGTTTGTGTGTTGTTGTGTGCATGCCTTTTAGTCAGCAGTCAGAATACAGAATATTTTGTATAGTATTCAACTGAGGGCACATATTGCAAAGGATGGATCACCAAAGATGAAGTTGTTAGTGGTTTCATTATCAAACACTAGATTTGTTCTTAATTATTCCAGCTGTAATACATGTAGGTTAAAAACAACGTGACAGTTATGACATAGGAAATGAAGAAAATTTTGTTGATAACTTGGGTCACTCTGGTCCAGTAGCCAGTCTTTCCTTCTTCCTTCCTGCTGCTGAGGAGCATTGCTAAGGATTTCATCACCTCCTTTTCAAAGTCCTGGGATTCCTCTGTCAGCTGGCTGCTACTAGCCTGAAAAATAATTTATTAAAATCAGTGTTTAAACACTTTAATATGGTAAAACAGCAGCTACATTTAACATTTTTGTGTTACTGTCTATTTGCAGGTCCCTAAACTGCATCTAAAGGTAAGACAGTTGACATTGGTGTTTTGTATCTGCAGGTATTCATTGAATTCTGTATGCATTTCTGTTTATTTTCTGTTTTGACATACTTTCTTAAGAGTGAAGCTTTACCTGTTTTCATTGCAAGTTTTTGCTCAAACATGATAATTATGGGTCTTACATGCTGTCCATTAATCAATCCATCCATCCTTCAGTTTTCTTCCACTTATTGGCAGTCAAATCGCAGTTACAACAAACTAAGTTGACCAAGACATCCCTTTAACAAGCTCCTCCTGGGGGATTCGCATCTCCTGGCCATCCCTCCAGTGCCCTCTGGGTCTACCCTGCGGTCTCCTCCCTGCAGCCCTCCTAGCAACCTGGTACCCTTCAGCTACTTCTACCAGAGGGTTCTGATGTTGCCTACAAGACATTCACTTGATGACTTTGTGGCCTCAACCTCTAGAAGCATCTTCCACAATGGAGGCTTTGAGCATGGCCCATTCACATTCCATGTACCCAACCAGGATGCAAGAAGAAGAAGAAATTCTTCCAGAGATAGTGCATACCTCCTGTTTCCCAATAGTCAGTGTTTCTCTCTGGGACCTGGACGAATAGAGAGGAAAACTCCAATACCAAGGGTCTCTTACATTTGGTAACGCAAGCCCAAGCATCTTGTCCAAATATGGTTACTTCTGGCTTAGTGACAACCATAGGCTGAAAATATTAATGGACAAATAACGTCACCCATCTGTTACTGCAGGGGGGCTTTGGAGTCCCATCAATGGTAATCGCCATGCTGGAAATGCTGTCTGAAGCCCTAAGGTTGCCACCTTGTGACAACCTTAGGGCTGTTATTGTTAACAGCAGTTTTTTGTGCAATTGATTTAGAATTGCACATAAACACCTTTGTCATACTGTCTGTTTGCTTACAATGATTTCCAAACCTAGAAACCGAAAGCCTTTAAAGAGTAAATGCATTCAACTTAAATTTCACCAGCTAAATGTTTTTGGAGAAACAGCCCAATCGCTCAACAGTCAATAATTTTTCAAGTGAATATTTTTGCAAGTTTGATTATTAAAGGTACAACTTAATTCTGACCTGTTTGCCATGAGAAGCAGTTCTGATGGCGTTTCACGAGAAACATCACAGTGAAGAAATGTATTCATGTCTGAAACAATTCAACAAACAGTTTAGTGCACACTCGGTGAAACGGTTGCATACATCCTATTTATCCCTATTTTAGAGAATTCAAAAAAGTAACTTAAACTGAACACCTTGAATAAAAATCCAGTCCAGATCTCTATAATCTTTTAAATAACTCATTAAAATGTTGATGTAGTGAATCTCATCTCTGGAAAAAGTCATAAAAGCTGATATTGTCTTTTTTACCAAAAGTCCTCAAACAGTCTTTACCTGCATTGTTGTCTTGGGATGCAGAGTCTTTCTCCATGAGGTACATCACCAAAATTGTCTCCAGGAGGCTTAGCATCATGAAACCAAAGATCCCAGTACAGTAAGTCGCTAAAGATGTAAACATATAGTATTAATGTTGGCATAATGCTACACAAAGTTAGTATGAACTGTTATTAAGGAACAATCAAGACAGGTTAATTGTATTGGTTTTCTTTTTCTTTTACCAATAAGTGGAATCCTGTTTGAAGAGGACGGCAGAATTTCATTCAGAAGAAGCTGCATCACTGTGACAGCAAGCAGCACAGTGACCTTGAAGCTGAGCTTCTCACCCCCACTGTCTGAGATCATGAAGGAGGCCAAATCCAGACACAAGAACAGAAGAACAGGCAGGATGAAGTTGACAACGTAGAGTATAGATCGCCTCTTCATGTTGACCTGTGAAATTATGTTTAAGGGTCATGTGGTTGTATTGCTTGACAATTGCTGGACAAAAGTAGCTTCATCTGCTGTCAACTTATATTTCGTTTTTTATTACCAAATTGAGGTTTCCCATTCCTACAATACATTTTGAAAAGGCCTTTTGATACAGCCTTGTTATCAATTCTCTGCTGGATTTTTACATTGACAGTTTAGTGTACAGGGGTTTTGACTGCATTGCTTGACAGTTTTCCAGAGTTTGTTTGTGTCACTCCCTACTTTCCTTCTTCTTCTTCTCTCCTTCTTCTTTCTTCTCCTGTCTGCCTCCCTGTGTGTCTTTTTTATCCATTGTCTTGGCCTGGCATTCCTCCTTGACTCTCCTGGCTCCATTTGCTGCACCTGCTAACCTGCTATCTATAAATCAACCTGACTGTTTTGACCCTGGCTTTTTGACAACCTGTTGCCAAATGGTTTCTGTACTAAAGAGAAGGATTCAGGACAATTCAGATGGATATTTGTTGGTTACGTGTTTTTTCTTAGATTTTTGAGAGTTTTGTACCCAGGATAATTAATAGTTTGCCTAAATGTCTGCTCAATCGACGTCCGTTTTTGGTGAGAAATGAACATGGCTCATGATAAAAGAAAAAATACATGGGTCTCCATTCTCTACATTTCTGTCCCCTCACATGGAATGATGCAGTTTGCTGCTTCAACTTGTTGACTTTGACATAAAAAGCATAAATCAAAACACTGCTCAGACATGCAGAAAAAACTATTTCTTTCTTTTTAAGGAAGGACTCTCTAGTAAGGACCGCAGGAGGAATTGTGGTACTATGATATATATTTGTAATTATTCTACACACACACACACACACACACACACACACACACACCACCTGCTCTGCGACCAAAGTTCTCCTTATGAGCTGGATACTTTGAGATATACCCAGGGTGCAAGGAGCCAGGTTTGTGGATGTACTTGTCATGTTCAACAAAATAGTTCACCTGATGCTACATCATTTAAAATTCATTATTAAATTCAGAGCACTGCCTCCCTCTGACATGTAGAGCTGGAAATCAAAAAAAGGAACTTCACATGTCCGCTGTCTGAAACCTGAAGTACTTACAGTGTAAACCACCATGCTTTGGGGGATTTCGAAATTGATGACAGATCTGTTGGTGGATTGAATGTTGATGAAAAGCCAGTCGGATTGGGTCCTCATTATATCTTGTGACCATTCTGTGGTGCTGTTTTGGTCACCATATTCCACAAGCACAATTTGTTCCTCTGAGGCAAAAGAAAAGATGAGACATTTATATTTCCTTGTTTCTTAAACATAACTCTATTGTATGGTTGTTTAGGTGACAAGAAAATGCTTAAGGCAAAAACATTTACTCAAAATTCAAGAGATAGGCGTACAAACAACTTACATACTGCACCTAACAAAGAAAAAATGTATATATTTTTTAAGTCATCAAAATTTTAATAGCTTTCTGTAATGGAAGTAAAGCACGCAAAATTTGCTTCCCATTTACAATTGACTCTTCCAAGCACAACCCATCGCTCTTACCTCTGTGTATGACAGACTTGAAGGAGAGGTTGCAGCTTTGAATGTCAAAGGGAAATTTGTAAATTTGCATCTTGCAGGTGGTGACCAGTACCATGTCGTTCCTAAGTAGGACATCCCCATTATATCCAACACCGATATAAAGACTATCAGTGGACTTATCTTTTTCTGTCCTGTATGAAAACAAACACCCACTTAGATGATTAGATGCTGCTTTAAACCACACATTCTTAAAATATTAAAATAGACAACATAAGCTTTTGTGGATTACACATCCTATCACTATTTCAATATCTGTTGCCCTTTAGAGTCCTAATTTTTCCTATTGCTAATTTAAATCTTATATCTTATATCTTAATATCGAAGAAACATCTTTATTTTTTACTAAGTCACTAAGCTTTTCTTGCAGTTTTCCTGCTTCTATGATAGCGATTCTAGCAGCCCAGAAAAGTCACAGACCAGTGCATTTGTATTAAATTATCGCATATGATGCTGAAGCAAATCAAATTTTTTACTCAGACCAGCATTGCTTCTGGGAGAATATGTGAGAAAACAGGTTTACACGTGGAGGATCCAGTTGAGAGACGAGTAAAACTCTTAATTGGGAGATAGGAAATTGGTCAATGAGGTTGACAAAATGTACTCTTAACTAACATTGTACTGGACACTGCTGCAGTCGCATCCTGCATCCTCAAGATAGCAAAGGGCCTTGACCGGATCTCAATACAGGACCAACATTCCCTTGGGCGCTGGGGGTGAAAACCACAGTTGCTTAAGGCGGAAATTGGCAATGAGAATTGCCTTGCACTTATTGGCACTGGATGGAAGATAGGGGCCTTAATCGCTTCAGAAATCATAAAAGTTTCCAAAGAAATCCACTTTGGAGATATCAAAGTGAAAGACTATCTTGTGTAAATGACCTACGGGGCCAGTGTCAAGTGGACACTTGAGAAACTGCAGTTTTCTCAACAACGGAGATTACTGGTGGATACTGAGCTGTGGAACTAGGAACGCAGACATTCCCTTTAGTTGTTGCCTATACTCACTACATGTCTCTGTATTTGTGTTTTCCATAAATAGCGCTGGATTTGAGGAAGGGGGGTTGCGGGTTTTTAAAGAGTTGAAAGTATGCACATATATTGGAACTTACCTCTCTTCAATAGTAATATCAGGCAGCCACAATAGTTGTGCTGGAATAAACAATGTTTTGATACCGCAGAATTCACTAGGTTCCCAGTGAATTAGATCATTTTTCCACAACTACAGAGGAAAAAAAATTGGAAAATAATTAAACAAAGGAAATTCATAACGAGGGAGTTTTTTGATTTTTTGTGATTCAGACAACTTACCAAGTCAACCCAAACATAAGAAATAAACTTCTGTTCCTTTTCTTGCTATGGGAAAAAAAAACATGAAAATCTTTCCAAATTAGTTGTTTACAGTAAAATCTACAAGTTGAACACGTGCAAACATATACACATTTTAATACCAATGATATCCTTTTAAAGTAGTTTTGGTAGTTGTGCTCTTGGCTAAAATATAGGCTATAGATTTTCCAGAAAAGTCCAAAGTAGATCACTTTGTCCTAGATTCCCACTTTCTTACTTTGAGATTGCATGGTGATAAAATGCATTTAAATTAACCACTTACCACATCCAGAATGGCATAGAGTAGTAAAGCCAGTGTTACTTCTGTGGCTGTTCGGCCATTTTTGGCTGGCCGGGTCATTGCAAACTTGTCTTTGTTTCTGGTCAAGTTCAGATGCTGTATAACATCCCAATTGGTTTTATTACACCCTTCTAAAGCAAAAACATCAAGACAGAGAGTTTTTTACATGTAAGGGAAATAAGAAAATGTAATTTTGAATAAAAAAACCTTCAGAGCATTTTTTAGTTATGCTCTCCCAGCTACTTGTCAATTTAAACTATGTCATATACCCAATGGTTCTGAATCATTTATGTGGATATAAAAGTTTAAGATATGCTAGCAACAAGTTGATCCATCAAACAAAACGCTTGTCTTTGTAAATTCCATCTGATACTTGGCTGAAAAACATTTCCAGTGATTTGAACATATGGTAAGACTAACTAATAAGAATTGGATATGGAGGGATATCATGTCATAAAAACCATGTCACAAAAAATAACTCCTGATCAACTACTTCAGAGTCTGATGCTGAAACACTAAACTGGAGCCAAAGAAGCTGCTGAAGGACAGGAGTGATGTGATTAACAGAGGGAGTTCTGGAGATGATTCGAGCGGCAGAGATCTGGACCAGTTGAAGTTTGTGGATGGACATGCCCTTGGTATTATTTCAGAGTTGCTGAGATACCCCTAACAAGGTTCTAAAGTGACCTATGAGTTGCACATACAAGAACCTAATTTATTTAGTTAATGGTCAATATGATGCAAATTTGAATAACTGACACTACAAACGTAAGAAATCATACCATCCCAAGCTGTTGGACGTCCTGTACATACCTGGGTTAAAAGACTCTTCTGGCTCTACAAAAACGTAAGTGTTCCCACCTGACAAAACAGAGAACATTGGTCTTAATTTTCTCTATTTACATAAGCATACATTTTGATATGTATTTTTTAAAGGTAAAATGGCAAAGGGGGGCAGACATATTGATATTGACATGTAGATGTTGTCCCTCTACCAATGTGGATTTTTATAAGAGTTCCATGCTCATGACAATATCTCTAATTATTGCTTAATTTACCAACAAGACATTTTTCCTTTTATTGTTTTACCCCTGAACACCAACTTTTTCTCCTATTTCTACTTCTGACTTTCTTCTTTTCCTCCGAGTTTTTTGTCCTTCAAATAAGGCTGATACGGCAGCCTAGTCTTGTTTTCAATTTAAGTTCAATTTTGCATTAACAAACTTGCCCAACACCCTGAGGAAACAGATAGTTGGAACACCAGATGGGTAGTGAAAAAAAAAAAAAAAAATTCAATAAATAAATACTATGAATAATTTACTGAATAATCATGTCAAAATTATCTATATTGGGTTTGAACTAGTTTTGATATTCCATATGGGGCAAAGAGGATTTGGTTGGGAACTCACAGGTTTTTGAATAGTTTAACAGCAATATTTATTTTCAGGGACAAAGTCCATGTTAAATAATCAATTAAATAATGTAATAAGTTGTTTTACAAAGTATTTTAAGTTTCCTTGCAACTATGAGTATCCCAAACATTACACCATTCATCTCCATTGCAATGGTATGGTAACAAAATGTCTGTAGTATGTAAACTAAAATGATCTGCATGACTTAATACGAGCAACGGTTTGATATAATTGTGTCAACCGAACAATTAATTCCGGATTCTGGTAAAACTTTGAAATCCCTGGAGCCATTTGTCAAAATGACGCACCACTAAGGAAGCCTGTGGTGGTAACCAAGTAAAAGAGATTACAGGGCAGAGCGTCTCTGATGATCAGTCACTGTCCTGGTCATGCATTTTACAGTAAGATTGTTAACTGTTTTATTTAAAAAAAAAAAAAAAAAAATAGAATGGAAATATAATGTTAACAAAACTTTAGAACTGCATACCTCCATGCATCGTACAGAATTGTACATGCTTACCTGTAAAAAGGAGCAGAAAGAGGAACCCTGAAAGCTTCATGATTGTAGAAAGTGTGCACAGTCGATGAGCCTTCTTGTCTTTTCTGAGATGCTGGAAATGTTTTTTATAGCAATAATATCAATGCCTTGTGAAGGGCAGGGCAAATTTGATGACGATCCCTTATTCATCTAATGATAGAAATGCACGTAATGCAACAAAGCTACCAGTAAGTGCCTTTCCACTTAACAATTAGCCAGTTGCAGATCAATTTGCTATCAACCACAGCAGTTCACTTCCCAAGAAAATGAGTTCATGAAAGAACCCTGTCAGAATGTTTTATATAAAGCAAGATTAACACAATATGATTCACCCTAAGTTATATTAAATATGGAATTAATCACAATTCTGACTGGTCACCAGTGTATTATAAGTTAACAACTAAACAACATCTATGGCTTTTTGCGTTTTCAGTAATGCAAATTACTCCTCCCACTTAACCAATTTTACAACTCTAAACAAAATGAGTATCAAGGGATTTTATGCTAGTTACTTCAGCTGTGTGATTTTCCCATTGATCACACCCAATCACATGGCCCTCACAAAACACAAAAACCTAATTGTGTGTGTGTGTTTGAATAAGCCAAAAAAACATTTAAGGTTTTATTTATAAAATATGAAGTGTCTAATTAATTTATCTCAATTAGTACTCTACAAACAAATCACATATCACAGAACAGTTTTTGGTCTGGATAGTTCATAATGGTATGATAAAGGCTAATCTAAATAGCATTTAATCATGCATTACATTGCATATCCTCTGAAGATCCTCTGATTGATATTGACAACTTGGGAGAGCATGTACAATATGTAAAGATTGTGTTTAAAAAGCATATGTTATTAAATGTCAAATGCATTGATCTTGTCACCATATCCACTTTCATTTTTAACATGTAATTAAAACATTCAAACTACAGTTTAATTTAAACAGAGGAGTGTACATAATGTCATTCACAATGCTCAAACCAGAGTGAGGATAACATGGCATTATTGGTGCAAATATTCCTGCAGAGCAATGTGTGAAAAATAAATCCACTTTTAGTACTCAGGGATTTAATAAGGCTAAGCACAACCAGAACCATTTAAGTAAATGTGAGAGCAAGGGGCTGATGCGTAAACGTTTTGATTCCTTTAGAGGGAACCTTAAATGTTGCAACTATATAATTAGCTCCAATGTGCAAAGTAAATTCATGAACATGTAAAGCCCAACTTCCGGGGATCTCTGACCATTAATACATATCCTTGACCAATGGGAATGTGTCAATTTAATAAAACTCCCCGTCAGAATAAACAATGGATTACTATGTAAACATGTAGTTCTGTTGGCAAACATAACACAACACTCATAAGCATCTGAGTTGATTTCCTCTTTTATTTTGACATTGAACATTGATGGATAAAATGCCAAGTGGAGTAAACAGTGCAGTAGTAGGAAAATAGGGAGTACCCGGGAGCTAATGTGACTGACTAGCAAGTCAGCTTTTCTTCATCAGGTTCAGCAGTTAGCCAGCAAGTCTTGTGAGGCAAATATTTAACACAGACTCATGTTAGATAAATGTTCTGGTGCCACGGCTGTATTATTTCTGCACACACTGAACAGCGATGGAAACAAGGCATGCTTAAAGCAAATAAAAATAAAAAAACAAGTTATAAAATGATAGCAGTAGTCATAGCTAGTCATTACAAAGGAAATGTTCAAATAAAACAACCAAAACGTTTTTGATATGAAGCTTTCATCACTGTTCTTCACTGTTCCATCTTGAAAAGATAATGGATAAAAACAGACTGACCACTGTTAAATACAGGATAAAGAACACTCTGTTGAGTCTTTCAGCAACTGTGGTCCAGTAGCCAGGCTTCTCCTCTTTCTTGATGTTATGGAGAAGCAGAGAAAGAGTTTTCTCGATCTGCCCAAGTTCTTCCGAAAGCTTCTCCAAGGCATGGAACTCGTCCATCAGTTTGTTGCTGTTGCCCTGCAAAATAATGGTTGAGTTGACTTTTTCAACAAAAATAGATTGTAGCATTTTCACAATTTTTTCTTCATGATTAAAGGCTTTATATGCTATTTTTCACACTTACATATAATAGAAATCAAGTATATCCTCTGAAAATAACTCTGAGTAATGACTGTCTACAATGGGTGTAACACCCGAGTCCCACTGTCTGAGTTTTCAGAGTCCTATCTTCAGTTTGTTTACATCGTTGGGACGACGGCTGACTCCTCCCCTCGAGTATAAAAGTTGTTTAATTGAGGGACTAGAGAAAAGAAGAATAACATACTGTACTCACTGCTTAACGGCGTTTCTAGATCACGCTCATTTCGAGTAAATTTACATGCAGTGTGAAGATACGAGCATAACAAAGATCGCTAGCATTAGCATGCTAACACAACAATGCAGCGTGAGTCGTTTTGGTTTCATGTTGGTGTTCAAGGGCGACATCTGCTGGATCAAAAAAAAATCGCATATAAAGCCTTTAAAGCAATGATAGCGAGTCATAAGTCTTACCTCTCTGGCCACTGATTGATGTTCAGATGGAGTTCCACCAGTAGACACATCGTAGATAGAAGCACAATGAGTCCATTTGTTCACCTCTGAAAATGCGATTTATACATTACGATTAACAAGAATGTTGCAAATACTGAAAGTTTCTGTGTGTATGTGTTGCGAAACCTTAACTATAGTCAGTTTATTAAAAAGCATTTGTTTAACCCTTTTTTAAATTGTGGTTATTTAGTCAAGATTGGCAAAACCTTTAGCATTTAGAGGTATTAGACTTTTCCCATGGTTGCATCTGCCCTATTCAGACTGCCCATCAAGGCGCGATATTTCAGCCATATTCTGTCAGAGGCATAATGGGGGAATGAAGTGATCCCCCTTCAAGCCCCTATCATGTGTTCCTGTCTTGAGTGTGTTGAACTCTCGCTATTTCTCCACATTGCCGTAATACACTGACTTTACAGACTGTGACACCACTACCATGGCAACCACTTGAGTGCAACCTGCTAGCCGTGGATGTTTTCGTCTTTTCTGAGACGCCAACAACAACCCTCTTTCTGCGTCCACATGGACCGCGCAGCTCAGAGGACCAAACAGCCCCGTGCTGCGTGGATACGACAGTTTTTGAAACGACAGGAGCCGTTCAGAATCACGTCGTATAGCAGTCCACTTATTGTTTGAGCATGGTTACGTCTACATCTCCCGCGGACCGTACTTGAATACACAAGTACATGACCTGTACTCGGGCACGTACCTGCGTACAGTCTGTTTGTGTTTGTTCACACTGATCAAGTGACCGGACTTTGGGGTCAAGCGCACTCTGATCCCTAGTGTGAAACCACCTGTAGTCTTACCTATGTGATGGTTGTGGAAGTTGGCAGTTCCAAGTTTGTTACACTCCTCACTCTGGCTTTGGTCTTTGTCTGCTGTGGTTTCTTGATACAAAGAGTCCTTGTTAATCAGATACATTACCAGAATTGTTTCCAGGAGGCTCAGGAACATGAGACCAAAGATCCCAATAAGGTAGACCGCTAGGAGAGGGAAGGTGACATCGTTAAATCAGACAGAAAGTTACTCATCTAGTAGAAGTGAGGTATATTCTGTGTACTTATTAAGTGTAGTCCACTAAAGGACACACTCTGATCTGCTTTACCTATAAGTGGAATCCGGTTTGATGAGGCTGGTAGAATTTCATTCAGAATAAGTTGTAACACAGTGACAGCAAGCAGCACAGTGACCTGAAATCCGAGCTTTTCACCTCCACTGTCTGAGATCATGAAGGAGGCCAAATCCAGACACAAGAAGAACAGGACGGGCAGCAGGAAATTGACGATGTAGAGAATAGAGCGCCTCTTCATGGTGATCTGTGAAATTATGTTAAAAGTTGAGGTGGATGAGTCTTCTTCTCCTCTGGAACTAAAATAAGGCAAATGTACGACTAATTAATGTAGTCGGGGCTCAGAGGGTGAAAACTAGGGGGGGCGGGGGGGGGGGGCGATACTGTGCGAGACAAACCTCCAAAAATGGATCACAAGACCCACTACCTGCCTTTGACTTCTCTTGTTCAACGTCATTATGTCTCTTACGCATGTAGCTGAATAGAGGTGTACAAGAAAATGGTAGTTAAAGTACACACCCCTAGCATTTTCCCGCCATTTTACAATTTTTATTGCCATCTGCTATCGATAAACTTGTGGACGTTCACTCTCTCTTTATACTCCCTGCGTAGGCTATTTGTTGAGAGTAATCCTCTTTTGGGTAACAGAGAGAGAAAGAGAGACATTTCCCTCTTGTCAGCGTTATGATTGAGGTGCTGTCTCTCATATATAGACCGTCACATGTTGCTGTATTCATGATTTAGTGCAACCTACGCTCACTGCTCATCTGTTGTGAGATCGGACATAGGTTGATTTGGTGCTGATTTCCCTTTAGGCTGCAGATTGGTACGTTGCAAGAGATTTTCCTTATTTCAAGGGGCTATATGTAACTTATGTACAAAAATACTGCGTTTGTAGCGACACCGCATGGCTGTTAGGCGAACTGCACCAGTAACCTGTTGCTCGCTCTCCCTCGCGTGCTCGTACGTACACAAACGAGCATCATCATCGGCCGCGAAACACTGGATATTTACCGGCATAATGTTTACAGAGGAGGTAAGTGGTCATACACATGTGAAAGTCTGTGAAGGAGTCTGTGTGTCTGTATTCATTCTCCATCCTACAAACGACAGTCTCTGCAGGCACTGGCTGAGAGCGGAGTGTGTGATCAGTTTGTCCGCCTTTGAGAGCTCCTAGGGTGGATAGAAGTGTGTGGAAGACGGCCTCTGGCTGTGCAGGTGAAGACCGGGAGTGTGTGGTGAGTTTGTACAGTTGATCTCTGTAAGCGGAGTGGAGTGAGGAGGACGTTGAGAACGTGCATAAAAATGTCACTTCCTGGAGCTTTTGTGGAAAATACGACCCGGGGAAACATTTTATACAGGCAACACAGATAGACAGTGAACATCTACTTTTTCACATCAGTTAACCGTTCGCTTATTAATGGGTGATAAAAAAACGATTTACATATAGCCCCTTTAAAGTATAATTGTATTTAATTTGTTTTAAAATGTATTTACATTTTTTTAGTTAAAATGATACTTAAACTTTTTAAAGGGTATTTTTTACAAGATTTTGATGCTTTTTTACAAAACTTGTGCACTCATTCTTTTCCAGTAACATAAACTCAAAATAAAAAAGATTACTTAATTTTATTTAAAAATCTACATACGAGAAATTATATTCTACGTTGTTGTCTGATAACGGTTTGAAGAATTACATTATTTTATCATTTCCTTCAATCTCATTCCCTGAAAATTTGTCGCAAAATCGTACATCAATCGTATCTTTAATCCAATACTGTGAATCACTGAGTGTTTTGTTACAACCCGAGAAACCCTAAAAATATTTCAGATATCATCACAACACTTCACAATACAGGAATTCACAAAAAATCCACAATTGATAAATGTGCTTAATGATAGGGTTACCTTCCACTGTGTACACCTGTACTGTGTTATACATACAGTGTAAATGATCTTGTCTTGGCTGACCCAATCAGTGGCATTGACGGTGGTGACGACCATGTTGAGAAACAGCCATTCGTACTGGGTCCTCATCACCTCACGAGACCACTCTGTGGCCTCGGAAGAGTTGTCGCTTGCCTGTAGCCGAATGTTCTTGGCTTGGTTGTTTAAGGTGAGATAAAAAAGGAATGGGTGATGATAAGTGTTACATATGACAGTGTGAGACAATGACTTTGATTCATATCCAGCCTAGAAGGGGCTCCCAGGAGCAGGACATTCCAGCAGGCCTTATTCAGGTCTGTCCAATCAAAACTATTAATTCATATTCTAAGTGCTGTTAAGGTTTTTTTTCATATAAGTAATATCTTCAACATTCAGAATGGTAATTAAGTCAATATGGACTGAACAGGAAAGTAGTTAATTTTGCATTCTGATTCGTCTTGGTATCATGTTGATCTATAGGAGCAATAGTTGTAATAGAGTAGACCTACTCTTGAATTATACTGAGATCACTATTATTGTGATTTGTTATGATTGGTTCCTCCATTTCACCAGCAGGCCTACAAAAGCCAGTTCCACTCCAATGTGACACCACAGAACATGTCATCGTACAGATACAGAGTGAGTATTGCAGCTAGGCTACTATAGTTTCATAATCATACATACGTAAATACATTTAAACCAAAATACAGCCAGTTTGTTAAGGAGACATGGAGATATAAAGTAACATCTGACTGCAACTGTTGGAGTCAATGGCAATCCATTGCTTTTGTTTACTGTCAGCCAATAATTGGTCTGTTATGCGCCTACATTATTCAAAATAAAATGATGTAATGATGAATATTTGAAAATATTTTTAAACATACAGAACAAACTGGTATATAGACGGCTAAATGCAGAAAACAATTATCTTTTTTTTTCCATAACCAAGACTACAATATTGAAAAGCTGCTCTAACTTTTAGCAGCTAACACAAGTCCTTCTGTCATATATCTGTACTGACTCGATGCAAAAAGCAATGCTTACTCTGTAACTCACAAGTTCTATGCACCAACACCCATCATTGGCCCCTCTTACTTGGAACACAAATAGTCCAGAAAAACTCTCACCGGTGTGTATGACAGACTTGAAGGTGAGATTGCAGCTCTGTATGTCGAAGGGGAATTTGTAAATGTGCATCCTGCAGGTGCTGACCAGCACCATGTCGTTGTTGATTTCAACATCACCTTTGTCATTGATGGTGAGATAAGGAGTCGGAGATGTTTTATCCTTCTCTGTCCTGTAGAGACACACATGGAGGAAACCGATCCAGATTCCTTAAATATTAAGGATGCAATGAAATCAAGCCTAAACCAAAATGTGCAAATTGTACAAACTCAAATCTGTATACCTTTCTTCATGTAAAGTAGCTTTATGATAAGACGGCTTTGCCAGCCGAATAGGCTCTATCTTACCTTTATGTTAACATTGTTTTACATCACCTTCTGTTCAAAACACTCAGTCAGTGTGCTGAATTAACATCGTTTTGGCTTTGGTGTCATATTTGTAAATATCACCATGCCCTGCCAGTCATTAGCTATTCTTTGACAACAGCTGAAATGCCAATGCGCTTTTTAATGACAATATGTGAGGATATCAGGACCCTAGTTGTGATTATCTATTCTGCATTAAAATCTTGGGTTTGTTAAGTCTTTCCAAATTTCTGCTCCAAATTATGACTCTGTGTGTTTACGTGTGCGAGTGCATGCTAACACTTTCACTCTTACATTTCTTCGATAGTGAGATCTGGCTTCCACATGATTCCAGCAGGAAGAGAAATATTATCGATTCCACAAAACTGATGTGGGTCCCAGGAAATGTATTCATTATGCCATCTCTACAGAGAAAACCCAATGATCACATTACAGAGAGTCAAGAGGAAATACATTAGGTTCTTAAATAATTGAGATTGAGGGAAAAACGGTTAAGAAAGCCCTGAAATGGAAATTAAATCTTTTAATAACAAGGGAGACTAAATCAAATCATGTATATAGTTAGTTTCCATCCTCTTCTGAGAGAACTCACCATGACAGTCCAAACATATGGAATGAATTTCTGATCTTTCTCAACCTGTCAACAAAGAAATTCGTTTTTATTAAATCTGTGCAGGAAGATAAAAGAACATACAGCTTGTATTCTGCTGATATGACACCCGTCAAACTATGAGTCATGATTTGGATGACAAACATTAAAGCTCTGAAATAGTAGATACCTCAACATATAAAAGTAGTAGTAAGTAAAGTGGTTTATTTATATAGCACCTTTCAAAAACAGATGTCACAAAGTGCTTCACAATAAAGAAAGCACAATCCTCTGAATGAAATGATCACGATCTGCAGCACAATCAACTAAACTCAACTACGTCCTCTGAGGGAAATTTAGATGTAAAGCATCAAACTCAACAACATTTCAACCAACAGACTGGAGGTCATACTGCTTGATCTTACACACCAATATTTGTACACAGTCTGTGCAGGCAGCGTAACGTTTTAAACCTGACTCCCTTTGGAGTTTCTGCCCTCTGTCTGTGTTGGGTATTATGAATAAAACACATTTTTGTTTCATTTATACTTGTGTTGCACTCAGTCAATATGCTAAAGATTTATAGAAGTTTTTTTACACATCCATTTGGGAACTTTTTCACAGTAAATTGAAAGGTATATCCAAAAAAGACCTCCGTTGTGGGGCGCTGCATAGACTAGTGGTAATGTTGTTGGTCTGACCTCGGCCTTTTGCTGCGTGTCATCCCCCTACTCTCTCCTCCCAACATTTCCTCTCTCTCCTCCGCTGTTCTATCCAATAAAGGCCAAAAAAGATATTTGAAATAAAATACCTCACTTGGGGGCGTCATGCCTCATCATGAATGACCTGTGACTCCCACATGTCACTGCCCACTCTCTCTTCCTGGTGTCCTACTCTACCCACTCTCCTCTTGAATTAAGGCAACAGCCCAGAAATAAATCTTTAAAAACATACCTCTCCTGTCATATGGAATAATAATAGTCAAATTGGAGTTTTACAGATAAGCTATGAGCACTTACCACGTCTAGAATGGCGTAGAGAAGTACTTCCAGAGATACGTGAGTGGGCTGTTTGTAGTTTTTAACAGGCCGTGTCATGTAATACAGCTCATTGTCTTTGGTCAGTTTCAGGTGGTTTAAAACATCCTGATAACTGCAGTTATTCTCAGGAAACACACCACCTTCAGAGAAAACATCAACACACAGTCTGATAGGAATGGATCTTTTTAAGAACATGTGTGGTTCTGTTTCTTCAGAACTCTTTCTCTGGCAGTTATAGTTTCCCAGAAGTGCTCTCAAAGGCTTCTTATTCAGAAGAAAGGAGACACACTAGCCCCTGTGGTTGTTATCCACTCACTCTGGATGTTTATCTCCACAAAGTTTATTTGCATGAAAAGTGTAAAAGTAAGCATTACAGAAAGAGATTAGGCTTCAATGCTGTCTCTTGATCTTTAATCTGTTGCAAGTTGCCAAATTTAATTTGGTTCACATTGAGGCAAAGCAGCAGAGTTTTAAGATGTGATATACTTGAATTGTCCCCTTGGGGTAATCTTCCTCTGGATTCTGTCCAGCTGCAAGGACCAAATATAGGTGATAAAAAATATTGCAGCAGAAGTTCTTTAGTAGCTTCAGACAGTGTTTTGTGAATTACTAGTTTGACTTTTAATCTATTTCTCTGAAAGTCCTGGAGTTGATCCTTGTCAACAGGAAACACTTCACTTCAGATTGAAAGCATTGTGGTGAGTACTGACTCGTGTACATCGATTTCATCAAACAACAAGCACACAAATGCAATTTACACGCAGGAGAAAAAAAAAACCACAATGGGAGAGAGCAAATGGGAACGTTTTTAAAAGATTTAGCTCTCTTTTTTTCCCCCCCCGACGTAAACACAAATCAGCTCCATAAAAAGAGACGGGTGATGAGTTTATCTTAAAGTCAAACTACAGAAGGCTAATTAGGATACGCCTGAGTGCAAGAAGGTAACAGTTTTCAAACTTACCTGTGAGGAAGAACAGAAAGAGGAAAGCAGTTAGCATCATAATTGCAACAACTGTAGGAGTCCAGAGTCAGTGAGATGTTTGCACTGAGGGGAGATAGATAGACGCTAACTGTGCAGTCAGCCACCAAGTCTGCCCACTGCGTCGTACTGGAAGAGGGTCGGGCAAACTGGATCACAGAATATTTGTGTTATTTTGGATAATGTGATTAGTGTAAGTCATTCGAGGACGGCGGCCACTCCCACAGCGGCTCTCAGTGGTCTTTAAGTTGAAGACCAAGAATCACAAAGTCCCCTTGCGGAGCCACAAATGGGCTGTAATGTCTTTTTAGTGGTCTGTGTGAGTACAGTAAATGCAGCCACCGAACATGGTCATCTCTTTGAGTGTCACCATGCTATAATCAAGGTAAGAAAAACAACTATAATGGCTGTCCAAAGAGGATATTCAGGTTTTAAAGCACAGAAAGAAATATGAATGAATACAGACGAATAAACACAAAGTTACAAGATGTCAATAAAACAATGATCAGAATAGAGAGAACAATACAAATCTATTCTTCTGATGTTTCAGCGTCATGGCATTAGAGAGTGATAACACATATTTCTGTTTTGAGCTACTGATGTGCATGGTTCTCTATAAACATTTAGAGTATATTTAATGATCATGGTTACGTTAAAATGGATTTATTAACAAACCAAAACAAAATGTGCAACCCAAAACAAGCTTCTTCTATAAAAACACCAAACAAAAGAGAAGCCAATCGATCTCAAACACAAAAACTAACACTCAATAAACGAAAAGGTCTTATAAAGAACACAATCCTTCCACACTAAATTTGTCGGCGTCAAAAACACAAGCAGTCCAACGACCCACTGGCACCCTCCTCTCTCCTGCTCTTTATAGTTTGCCCCTGATTAGTAATCAGCCACAGGTGTGGCTGGGCACTCGATGCTGAGGAGCAACACCTGAGGAGCACACACAGGAGAGAGAAAACACAAAACTACGGCACGTAACAATCATTTATAGACATTCTTTATAATGGAGGACATTTTCCTCACTGAGGTTGTAACACTTCTTCATTCTCCTCAACCAAGCTTCAAAAGATAAAACATATCTACATATCAGAGAGCCTCCTGAAACTTCTTCAATAGTATCGTCACACTAGAATTAAGTCAGGGTGCATGCACTTAGTTTATTAAGGTAGTTTCAGTGTGTGTGTGTGTTTTTTTTTTTTATCATTTTGAAGCTGTGAAAAAGTGAAGTTGTTTCTTTTTGACAGTTCTGTGATTTGAAGAAGGGTACTAAAGACACTGATGGTCAATATTGATATCCTCCAGCTGTGCTTCCATGTATAATATCATATTAACCTTTTATGGGAATATAAATCACTGCAGCTTAAACGTCTTCAGTTCATTGATCAGACTGAAAGTAGAGCACACCACCTCGTGGCCTTACAGAGACATTGTCAGGATGACAGTTTAAACGGCGCCTGTTGGCTTTCACAGGGTACTTACCATGGCATAGGGTCAAGGGTTACAAGATAGGCACTGTGGCTAGAAACCTGTATGCATGGCCTCTACTTTGTATTTTACATATGAAGCAACCTTCATTGCATGTGTCCCTGTTAAATAAACAAATGAAATAAATCAACCCTAGCCGCCATATTTGAGCTTGTAAAGCACTTTTCTACTCTTTTGACAACTCAAAGCGCTTTTTACACGTTCACCCATCAACACCACATTCACTCACTGACGGCAGAGGCTGCTTTTTAAAGTGTCCATCCGTTTATTAACTGAACTCTGAAACTCAATAGTTAATAACAATAAACAGCATTTTAAGCCACTTGTTTGACATTCCAAATGTTTTGCATTTGTATGCTTTTAATTTGTATTTTGTATCGTCTTGAGCTAAGGGTACAACCCGGCTTTTATTTTGAAAGGAAATATGAAACTTGTGTTAGACTGAAGGTTACAACATTCACTTAAAAAAAGAAAACTTGTTACAGATCAAAAAGTAGATAAAGCAAAGGTTAAGTGGACCTTTTAAAAGTGAAATGTTTTGTGTCACATGGTGGATATTTGATTCCTGAAGTCAAATGAAACCATTCAGAGGCGCACAGGTGTCGTTCTTTTCTGCGTTCTTCTTCCTGTGCCTACATGGAGATGTTTGCTGGCTAGCTATGCTGCGTTACACAATCAATGCGATTACAAAACAAAAAGCGGTTGATTATGTTTGGAAGTTAACCGCATTAGGATTGAAGCGTTGAAGCTGTCAGCCCTAGTAATAACTAATCCTGATCATACACATTCACACACCGCTGACGCAAGTGGCGGGGACAAGTTTGTGCTTCGGTGTCTCCCCCATCAAACCTTCCAGCTGAGAGATGACGACTCTACCACTGAGCCACAGCTGCCCCATGTTTGAGGAGTTGGGATTAAGAGTCTGTCGGATGTTGAAATGTTTCAGTCAAAAGCTGAGGACTGACTGACAGAAATGTCCTCACCAGCTAGCACAACAAATCATTTGATTAGATGTGATGAAACAATAACATAGAAAAGCCCCTCGGGACGGTGAATACTTTATGAGCACTCTGCCAAAGTGAATTTGCCTCCAGGAAGCTGATGTATCTGTTTCAATCACAACAGAATCATTCAGTGACAAAAGGAATGACTGTTCTCCTGTTTGGTGATGAAGTCATAACAGAGGGTTACAGGTTGGAGAGGATGGACACGATTGGTTTAAAGTCAGACAGATGGATGTGTTGTGAGGTTAAAGTCGACTCTAACAGGACAACAGGGGAGATTTGTTTGTCACAGGGGAGGGAAAATGTGAAACATTGCGGTGTAAAAAAACCTCAGTTAGATCAACGTGGTCGAGTTTGCTCGTGTGTCATGGTCAAGGTGCATGTTGGGGTCAATACAGATGTCCTCCAGCTGTGCTTCCATTTATACTCTCATATATATTGTTTAACAGAACATCAATCACTGCTTTTGAAGTGCATTTAAGAAGAAGTCTTCAGTGGGTGTCCAGTAGATTTATTGATGGCAAAATATTTGGAGGTTTAATTTTTTCTCCCTGCAACTTTAATATGAATTTAGAATCTTTTTTGTCCTTTTTGTAATCCTTTCATCTGTGGCTGTGAATGTACATGGATTACACGTTTCTTTCTTACAGCAATATTCAAAGGAAGGGCATCTTAAATGGCCTCTGCAGTGAAGTGCATGTCATGGCAAAAAAAAAAGCTTCTGTCAACAGAAAAATGTCTGCACCACATATTTACAAAATCGTTATTCACCTAAAACACATCAACAGATTCTAAATGATAAACAGGAAATGCAGAATCTTGATGCCAAGTGTGACATTGAGGACTAATGACACAGAGAACTCTCTCAAAACACATGTTGGCACACTGAATAACGATTCAAAAACAGAGGTATTTAAAACATTAACTTCGAATGTTTAAGTGTGCCATGCGATGAAGATGAGGGGTAGAAACAGTGACACAGTGGTGACGTAGAAAATTAAGAAAGCTTTGTTAATTCTTGCGGCCCAGAGGCTGGACTTCCCTCCCTCCAGTCTGCAGCTTAGGCGCAGATCAACAGTTTTCTGCAGCTCCTTCAGCTCCTCCAGGATCAACAGCAACACCTGGGAGTCTCCTGACTGAATGCGGCTGTTGTCCTGCACACAGAGTAAAAGTCATCTTTCCACTGTGACTGAAAATTCATCGCAAAGCAGATGGAACAGAAATGCAAGAGTTTCAAGCGATCTCTTAAATCGTGCATCCTAAGTTTTTAAAGACAGGACAAGTTGTATGTGAGCAATTTGGAGCAGAGGTACTTATTAAAACAGTATGTCTAATATGTGATAAGTTGAGTCTGTTTGTCAAATTTGTTAGTGAGCTGCCACTAAGATAATGAAATTAAAAGTCAAAAAGTCAAACCTCAGGATAGTGACTCGTGTTGAAAAGCTGATGTTACTAATCCTTTGTGTTTCTTGTTTAACTTTAAGTGTTGTTAAATTACTCCAGGCGGATGTTATGTTTCAGTCTGCTGCTAACTTTCCACCTTAACCAAACATTCAAACAACGTTTTTGGCATTCTCATCTTGTTTTTGGCTACAAAATATTGATGCACAACAATAACACATGGATGTAATTCAGGTGTCGGTGTCTCTGTCTAAATGAATCTGATATTCCTGCATCAGTTCTACCTGGCTTGTAAAAATACTGCTACAACTGCAGCTAGAATCATGTACCTCTTCAGCCATCGGCAGCAGTTCATGCTGTTTCTCCGCAGCAGACACTTGACAGATGCAGACACAGGAGGTCTGTTTTTTATCCTCTGAAAAAAAAAACACAAAATGTTTGTCTTAAGAATGACTGCAGTGTGTTTTTGGATCACGCTTAAGACGCGACTAAACAGATTCAGTTTGTTTGAAGACATTTGGACTCAACATAAAAGAAGTAAGGCGCTGATTGTTATTAAAAAAAAAAAGGAGAGGACGTCCCTACTTATAAATCAGCTGGTGGCCTAGTGGTCAGTGTACACCCCCACGCACAGCAGCCTCTAGCAAGTTTGGCTCTTGGCTCCCAAGAAGAGATTATGATTTGGCAGCGCCAACGGTCATATGAAGAATCGGACAATGTCAGTCGTCATTATTCATGTTTGGGATCAAACGTCTTACCCTCGCTTCTGTTTTGGAGCAATCTGAAGACAAAATATTCAGGACGCTCAAACTTACGCCTCCTAAAGCCTGGCTCCCTAGGTGACCGCCTATGTTGCCTATTCCTAAAGCCGGTCCTGATGTTGTCATTCCCCACGTTCTCTCTCGATCTGTTATTCTAAATGACCCAAATTACATCTAAAGAAGAAGAGTTTAACAGGTGAACACTCGATCAATTTAAAAATGAAGGACCCAAGTCCTTGGCAAGGTTAAGGTTTTAAGGCCTTTAAGATTTATGGATCACCCAAATTCAAAATGCTTTCATCTGTAATCTGAGTCTCACCTGTGGTGCCGTCCTGGGTTTTCATCTTTTCCTTTTTGTGCTGCCAGTCGTCCGCCGGCCCGACCTTCTCCTGTGCTACCGAGTCTTTCTCCATAAGATGCGTCACCAAAATGGTCTCTAGCAGACTGAGCAGCATCATCGCAAAGATCACAATGCAGTATGTTGCTGAGGAGAGGAAGAGTCAATCACTACCTTTGGTTTCTGTATCTAATGCTTCTGGCTGCACGAATCATAATCCCTTAAAGTGTGAGTCTGGTACCTATGAGCGGGGTCTTGTTGGACATGGAGGGCAGGATGTCGTTCAGGATGAGCAGCAGCACAGAGATGGCCAACAGCACGGTGACTTTGAAGCCCAACTTCTCTCCTCGATGGTCAGCGATGAAGAAGGAGGCGAGGTCCAGACACAGGAAGAACAGGACGGGTAACAGGAAGTTGATGACGTGCAGGAGGGGTCTCCTCCTCATGGTGAACTGGGGAAACAGGTCCAAAGATCGGTAGTCAAAAACATAACAGACACCATGACACTTCTGATGTTTGAAGCAAATTCTTAATCACTCCAAAGTTGTGATGTGTAAATTTGAAATCTGATGACAGCCCAAACTCAAGTCACTTAAGAGCACAAATTGAGTGAATTAGTTTCTTTTTTTTTAAATAATTTCTGTAAGATGTTTGGCCCTTGTCATTTTTTAAAGTGATCAAAATCATTTAATAAAGTGATTTAAAGTGATATTTTTCACATGTGCTCCGAGAATTCTCCGGGCATCATGAACACCACAGCACCAATTATGGGACTCATGATTTAAATGATGTTGATATTGAGTTATTTATTCAGTATAATGTAAGTTTTTATGAAAATGTAAAGATGAAGATAATTTAGATGAACGCTTTAAAGCTGAGAATATTGCTTTAAAAATATGCCATAAATAGTTTTTTCCATTTTATTGAAGCTAGAGCTTTAATTAAGAAGCTCAAGTTCAGTAACCAAATAATGCAAAGATATTAAAGTGATGCTATTTAAAATGATGTCTTGTTAATTTCTGTGCAACATTTATTATTTGAGAGTTTTTTTTTTTGGGTACAACTGAAACTATATATTCCAATAGGTCAAATGTTAAAGGACTAAAACTGTGTTCCTCTACGTAACATTGAATGTGCGTTTGACCTGAGCACATCCATCTGTTTGTGTCCCTGGTTGCGTACTGTGTATACAAGATTTTCCCACTGCCGGTTGTTGTAGGTTATATTGAAGCTGCTGACGGATAGTTGCATAAACTCCCACTCTCCCTGCGTCTTCAACACCTCTCGGGAAAACTGTGTGGCTCGAGACGAGTTGGAGCAAGGAAGGAGGCGCATCTCGTCAACTGAGGAGGAAAGCGGGGGAAAAAACCAGTCACATCACCGACTTTATCTGGAACACATAGCCACTCACTGTCTCTCACCATGGTGTATCGCAGATGCGACAGAGATGTTACATCTCTGTGTGTCGAAAGGGAACTTGTGGACGTCCATCTTACAGGTGCTGACCACCTTCATGTCCTCTTCAGAATACACCGTTCCATCAGAGGACACGAGAATGTAAAGATTCAGAGGGGAGTCGTCCTTCTGTGTCCTGAAACACACACACACACACACACACACACACACACACACACACACACACACACACACACACACACACACACACACACACACACACACACACTCTTCACGGCATGTTTGCAGAGCATTAAAGGTGAACTGAATGAATAGATGATGAAGCACCACCTGTCAGCACCTCTGGAAAATGTGCTTGCTCTTCTTTTACTCTTTATAACTGCTGTGTGTACTCAAACATGAGCGCACAATGAACTTTTTACCTTTGAAGCAAACACATGACGTACGGCATCAGCAAGTATAAATATTAAACTACCTAACGATGAACAGATACAGAGAATCTGTTAAATGCACCTTATTCCCTCCCTTCTTCCCTATTTTGTTTGTAAATGTAAATGTGTTTAGTTTGAAGTCTCACATCTCAAAGATGAAGAGGTCAGGTCTCCACAGCATGTCTCTGGGAATCGCAATCTGAGTGATTCCACAAAACTCAGCGGGGTCCCAGGATATGCCTTCATGTTTCCATTTCTGCAGGAAAATAGATTTGAATTGCAAGAAGAAGAAAAAAGAGGTTCAAGATCGAATTTGACGTATGAGCATTAGCTGAGTGTTCATCAAAACTCTACAGCTGATCACTTACCATTGAAGCCCAGATGAAAGGAATAAAAGTTTGTGTTTTCTCAACCTGTGAATCATCATAAAACGCACACATTTTGGAACTGCATGGCAGCATTCATGAAATGAACCGTGCTCTAACACGGTAACCTACCAGAGCCAGGATGGCGTACAGGAAGATGTCCAGCTCCACCCTGGTCGGGTCTGTGTAGTCCAGAACAGGTCGGGTCAGTTTGAACGCACTGGTATCTTTAGTCAGGTTCAGGTAGTCCAGGACGTCCAGGTAACTGCACACTTTCTTCGAGGTAACCCCGTCTACATCAGAAACAGTCGTCATTTAAAAACAATTAAAGGTAAATCTAACTTTTTAAACAATTGCTCGGGTAGCTCAACCTTCTTTGATTTAAAAGTATCTTTTAGGTCAGTGGTTCTTAACCCGTCTAGCCTCAGGACCCACCACCTTCCTCTGTGAAAAATTGCGACCCAAATTTCTGATACTTTTCGACCAATCAGATTTATTGACTGAAGACTTGTGCAGTTTGGACCTCAGTCTGTACAAAATGTGACAGAATTAAGAAACTGATTTAAAAAAAAGATGTTTAAAAAGCGCTACAAAGAGTTCTATTCAAGGCACACATTCGCGATCCACTAAAAAGAGCTATGCGACCCACCACTGGGCCCCGACCCACCAGTTGAGAACCACTGTTTTAGGTATGTCATTGCTTAGGTTTGGTTTGTGCTCAGTTTTTTTTTTCTTTGTTATCTATTTGGATTTGAATGTTATATAATGTTTGTTGTATGAAACAGGCTGGCTGAAGTTGTTCGTCTTTGTTTAACCCTCTGCAATAGATTTAAAATAATGTCATTACCAAAATATTATATCCAAACAACTCAGCATCAAGCATCCAACAAACACTGAACATAATCTAACTTTAATGTTAGTATTAGCATCTTTAATTATTTTATTTACTACTTTTTCAAGTTTTCTCCAGCACTCAGTTTGTCCTAATATATTTAGATTTCTCCTCAAAACCAAACCTAAAATGACTGAATTCTTTTCATGATGCAAGATGATAATTAAACATGTTGCACTTGTTTTCTTAGCTGGCTGATGGAGAGCAAATATACTGATTGTCTGTGTACATTTTTGAGATGTAGATGCTCAGATTAGAGCAAAGCTTCTGGATTTCTGCTCCTTTTAAAGTCATTTATTTTTACCTTGTTCCCAGTTCTTTTACCATTTTTGGTTTCAGTAAAGTGAAAAAGCTGCGTGACAACACTTACAGACTGCACATACACAAACAGTTTACATCAGACATAAACAGTGCCAGCATGATGGATAATAACTTTGAAACTAAACGTATCGCTGATACTCTGCTGAATCTGAATTTTAAAGAAGCAACAGACAATGATATGAAATGATCTCAAACATGCTCCAAATACGTACCTGTGGAGATGACAAGAAGGAGAAAAGCAAATCGCATCATGTTTGCAGGCGTGTGTGTGTGTGTTAGAGCAGCTTCCAGTCGTGTGTGTGTTCCTGCTGGAAATTGAAACCGTCTCTGTGATGCTGAGCTTTGATTTTGAGCCGAGCAGGGCCGGGCAGAACGTCTGAAACAAGAAACCCCTCCTCAGTAGACAGCATGGATTGATGTTGTAATTGTTTGAAAGAGCAGGGGGACAAGTGAACAGTATAAACACTGAATGATTTGACACCGGAGGCAGGTGGGCTTGAAGATAATTGAGTGAAAAAGAATAATACTCGGGGAAGAGCAGGTGTGGAGGATTCATCTGGAAAAACTGATGATGTGGATTTGCGTTTGAACTTAACTGAGCACCGTGACACAAGAGTACGGGGACATGTGAGAACAAACAGAAGCAAACATATGAGGCAATAAAATTAAATTAGGTGGTAATTTGGTAACGTTCTAATGACATTATGTACACTGTGCCCATTAGAAACCACTCATTGTCTGCTGCTGTAAGTCTTCGAGCTGAACAATAAACCTGATTTATGTTACATGTAAAAAAAAAAAACTCAATTATGACTGTTTTTAACCACCTAGTTACTTCAATGAGGCAGTTTTAAGTAATTGTAATTTGGAATTAAATGGACGTATGTGTTTACGCTGGATTTAATAAACAGTTAAGAGGTTCATGGGGCTAAAAAAAATGTTATCATCATATCATCATTTTTTTTTGTTGATTTATTAGTCAATTGTCACAAAAACATAAAAAACAGCAATGTTCTCAAAATGTTCGTTTAATTTAAACTGAGAATCTCTTAACCTTAAAAACTGCAGTTCCTCATATGTCCACTAGAGGAAAGCTTGCAGAGGTGGAAATTAGTGAATTCCTTTTTACGAGTTTACTTTTTGTACTTTTTAGTAGCTTTTAAAATCTGTAATTTTACTTTTGCTTAAGTAGGGTTTGTTTTAAGTGTTGTACTTTGCTACATTTTAAATCACATCCGTTACGGAGTAAAAAAAAAAAAAAAGTAGGCCTGTTATGAATGAATGGCAGCGGTGCAAAGAGGCAGAGAGAACCTTTTTTTTTTTAAAGCGGCTCGGTGCACCTTGAGCTAGTGCAGCGGGTCTACCTGCAGAAGGTGTGTTTAAACTGATGTCTCTTTGTACTACATCCAAGATCATTCAAAGAAGCGGGCTGTGGCTCTGACTTACGGGCAGAGGAGCGGCTGTGAATGCTGTTTTTCTCCGACAGCGTTGTCGAGAATCACCGCTAAGTACAGCTCCGCTAAGACTCAGAGCGATAAATACATTTAATTGAATAAAGCTCCCTTTTACTTTTACTCGCGTTCATTTTTAAACGGGTGATTTTACTTGTAGGCTACTTAAGTAAAGTTTCCTCAAAGTAATATGTTTGAGTAGAATTATTTGGTACTCTTTCCACCTCTGCCAACATGTCCATGTGTTAGCATAGCATAAACATGTTAACAGCAAAGATCAAACACTTTTTCAGCCCCTTTATCTTGTTTTACTCAACTGTACATGGTTATATATATTTATAAGGCACAAGGTTACATTTGATCTGTACTTAACATTATGTTAAGATAAGGCTGCGGCTAATTTAAGTGACAGGAATCTTCTTCCAGCTTTGGGCCGGACGTCAGTTTGTCATCTTAGAGAAATATAAAAATGTCTCTTTAACTCCTCAAAGAATATATATTTTTTTTTTTTATCTCAAGACACTCTACAAATAAAGAGCAGGCTAATACCGTACTCTGTTATATTATCTACAAATACCGAACATTAATCCATCATGAGCACAGCATTTGGCAACTTTAAGCAAAGTTACAGTGAAGGAAGAAGTGCCTTTAAACAGGCAGAAACCTCGAGCAGAAGCAGACTCACTGAACAGCTTTCTGCCACAAATGTGTTGGGCGTGAAAAGAGGGAGATGCAGAGAGATCGTGCCCTTTTAGCTCAGTGATTTGGAGGCCTGAGAGGTTTATTTTACTGATGACAAGAATACAAATTGAGCTCTTTGGTGGGAAAGCAGAGTTTGAAAAATGATTGTGTAGAGCAGGGAGGAGAATTTCAGGGATTGTGACCATGTTAGGAATGATCCCGGAGAGGCATTTCATCTTCATGGACACAAAACCAAAACATGCAGTGATTAATGAATCAACAGTAAAAAAAACAAAAAAAAAACAGTGACTGTTTCGATGCAAAAACCTTTATTGTCCATTTGATGATTTCTGACATTGTCACTCTTAATTCTACAAAAGTGGGGTCCAGACCCATTCCTTTGATATCACACTGAGACTGTTGGCCTCATCTACACATTTGGACTGTGACAACATGACTTGTTTGCAGCTTGGATATAGTAGTGCAGAACCAGAGCCAGCAACAGGTACATAACACTGCAGAAGGATATGGTATGTTTTAACGTGGGCGCAGTGATCCATCATCAAGTTCTCTACAGGAGGGTGCAGGCTGACCTAGACTAACATGCTTACTTTACTATCGCCTCATGCACCGAAACGTGTCTTCTAGGAAACAGCAAGTAGTGCATTAAACGTTGTTATTGTCCCTTTTGAGTTTATGCTATGTGAGCGCGCGTTTGTGCGCAAAGTGTGTAAACCTTTACAAATTGTTCACATATTTTCATCCACATTCTAATAAACAACACAGTGATTTGCAACAAATAGAACACAAAAACAAGGGCATCAACAACAGGTGATCAATACATTAAAGTTATACAAACCCAAAAGAAGTGAAAAGGTTCACAAATGAGGAGACGGCGTCTCGTTGGGGTGATAATAACGAGGGAATACGATGGATCAACAAAAAGCCGGCTTACCGCAGCGTTGTCTTAAAACTCTAATTACACGGTAAGATGTTATTCTCGCTTTAAAACCCTTTTACAATGGCAAAAAAATATATATATAAAATAATATTTAAACACACTGCTATGTCCGGATTCGAGTACAACAGGCCGGTGCAAACAGTTTTTGTTTGAACAGAACGTGAGCGTCCTCCTGTGGGAGAAACAGGAGATGCAGCTTGTCATCTTTATTGCTTGGTGGTCGTTGTTGATTTCCAGTTGCACTACGATAATACTGACATGCTAAGATGAGCTGTAGAAGAAGAAAATGGTGTGTGTGTGTGTGTGTGTGTGTGTGTATGTTGTGTGTTGTGTGTGTGTGGTTGGAGAACCAGATTAGGGTTGAAAGTTTATGTTTTAATCCAGTGAAGTTGGCGTGTTTGGATGTCACGTACATTCCCCTTCTGCATTGTCCTACATTCTGCGTGACGTTTTGCTTTTCAGTCCATTCCTGTTCATATTTGGCCGCCACTTCTTGGCCCGTTCGTCAAACTTACAAAGTCCGCCTGCTTCTGTGTTCACATTCAGCAGAGGTGTTTGGAAATAAAGGCGAGGATGAGAGGACGAACGTCGGCAGAGGAGTCGAAAAGCTGCATGCGAAGTCGAGACGGGAGCTCCCTGATCCGAGGAGAGGAGTCAGCACGTTTTTTTTTTTTTTTTTTTAAGTTTTGCTAAGGTATGGTAGTCCAGTGAGAGCTGACATTTATGTAGTGTCCTCTCATTCGACAGACAGTTTACAACAGAGAAGAAGAAACACATAGGTAATAAATCCGATTGCCGATCACAGTAGCCCCTGACTGTTTGGCTGGTAAGAGAGGAGAGGAGAGGAGAGGAGCAGCATGTGTTTGTTCTAAAGATAGAGTCACAATACAAAGATCTCATTGGTCAGACCTACAGGTAATAAATAATAACGTAGCAACAAGTAAAGTCACTAACAAAAAAAAAAAAAAAAAACACTCCTGTGAGATAAAAGTGCACAGAGGACTGACTGCTGAAGCCTTGTTGATCCGCTTCCCTCCTCTTTCCACTCGAGGAGTTTTAGCGCCAGCAACGAGGAAATCCAGGAAATGTCGACACGGATGGAGGGGGCGGGCGGGGAGGGGATGTTTCCCTGTTCAGTGAGGACAGTATCCAGCGATGCAGCACTATGGCAGAGTAGAAGAGCTGACTCTGGACGTATAAGTCTGTGGGCTTTTGTCGGGTGTGAGTGTGGGGGGGTGTTACACAATGAGTGGTCCGCGGCGGGGATGTTTAGGACTCTGGCCGTCCCGGTTCTCCGCCCCCTGCTCCTCCAGGTTGATGTTGCTGGTGGAGGTGTGGTGGGGACGGGGCTCCAAAACAGGCCTGTAGCCCCCCAGGTACATCAGACCTGTATCAGGAGAGGAGACAGACAGAGACGGGGAAAGGCTCAAGTTGAAACATCTTATTCCAAATATATCCTGGAAGTTAAACGGAGGATGTGACTGATATCTAAGACTCGTTTGATTTCAGACTCTTGTCTCTGGAACCTCCTCCTCAGTAAAATTCTGCAGGTTCTGAAACATCCAGATCTATGCGGGTTAGGTTTGTAACGTGCCAGTGGAAGCTGGTGCATTATTTCCCGGGAGGGGGGGTTTGTACATCTTGGTACGTTAGCTTGATGCCAACACATATTGGTAACTGTCATTAATGGGAAAACTGAATTGTTATTTAGCATGTCTACAGTCTGCACAGTACAGTTGTGCTGCGGGGTGGTGCAGTGGTTAGCGCTGTTGCAACACAGCAAAAGGAGGTTGGAGGTTTAAGCTCCTACATCAGAGTAGTTACGCTTCTTAAAAAAAAAAAAGAGATACTTTAAATTCAAGACCTGATTGTTTGAACTCCTAAGCCAATGCAACACCGAGAACCTACATCTACAGAACATGTGCAAATAAGTAAGCAAGGCTATTATGTCAACACCATAGACTGTATAAAACATGGACGTAGCCGCAATGCATCACTCGTTGGTTGCCGAAGAGGAATTATGAAGCCCAAGGTTGGCAGTCGCCATATTGGAAGTGCTGACTCTGACTAACTTCTGTGTAATGGAGAAGCAGGCAAAGAGGCGAGTCCAATGAATATCATGTAGCTTGTAGCTCGTCAAGTTGTCATCTAACGAAAACGACACAGACAACGCTGACAGTTTCAGGTACGTAAGAGGATTTGGCCAAAGTGACGTCCAGCTTCCCGTCAGCTACAAAATGTCCAGCTGTCAGTCAAATCAACCAC